AAAAAAAAGAAGAAAATTTAAATGCAAAGAGTCAAAAAGATAAAGAGTCCGAGAATTAAATTTAAAAGGTTTGAAGGTTGAAGTGAGATTTTCTCTATTTTTCACAAAGGATAATCCATGAAGTTGAAGCAGTAATGAGGCGTTTTCATGTTCAACCCCTAATTAGGCAAGAAAATGCACAAGAGATAGAAGTATGCGCACCTTGAGGTCATGCTCCAATTCCTACTCGACTAGAATGTGTGGAAAGAAAAGAAAGAATAAAATTAATTTTTCAAGGCTACTATTCTAATTATCAAATTATTTTATTTTATTTTTCATATAAATAAGAGTTTTTAAAAATAAGTTTAGCTTCACTCGAGGCATTTCTAGACTTGTATTGTCTTATTTTTCAATGTTAGAAAATTATATTAAGGCTACCTAAACTTTTAACAGGATTAGAGAGAATTTTAATTAAGAAGTTTAATTTGTTAATTTATTTTGATTTCTTTATAGATTTTATCATTTAATTTTATTTTTAAGAGATTGTTAATTAATTTTAAATTTAAAAATCCTAGAAGTTATATTTGTTAAATTTTATATAAGATTAATGTGCAATTTATTAGAATATAATCGATTAGTATATTTGTTTTATGATGAGTTGATCCTTTCTTACAAATATTATCAATTAGATATATTGTCGCTCTTAGATAGTTCTAAAGGATAGATTAGTTTGTTTTTCATTGAAATTAATTTCTTTTAAAATAAATTAATAAAAAAATTAACATATAACATTTATTATTAAAACAAAAATATACTTTATTATTTTTAAAATAAATAATAATAATAATAATTAATAATTACTTTTAGCAATAATTTGCTCAATTATAGGCCACAAGTCTTTCTCGGGGAAGTCTTTGTTTTAATCGTTATATAATTCAAAAAAGTTGTATCGTGCTTGCCACCTATGCAAGAGGGTAGACTTATAGTTACAATATAAAATGTTAAAATTATGTTAAAATTATTAATTATTTATATTTTA